TAAACACAAAACTAGTAACAAATGGGATTATTGATTTTGTGGCAACTTTGTTGTATGGCTTGTGAAAGGTTCATGACCTGCACATTCAGATCTGGTGTTGTGGTATGGTGAGGCAGTAATTCTAAATAAACTTGTATGGCTAATAGTGCATTTTCTTAGAGCTGTTACACGATAGAATCATGCTAACTGTTGGGGATTTAGCAGAAGGTAGTAGTCATAAGAGGGGCAGAGAGATGTGGCAGACAGCTGTGTGGGGATTTAACACAGCAGTCAACCATAAAGGAAAACCCGAATGAGCAAGCAAACAGCTAAAAAAGCACTAATACTGTAGCTATGTATACTAAAATATGCATTCACTGTTGTTCATCTGTTGGTGCATTTTACTAAATTGTTCAAATAACAGTATTTCTAAGAAATGTGTTTTTGTTTTCAATTTGGAGTCTCATGTCTTTTTTAACTAGGGTTTTGCAGTACAAAGCTCTGGTGTGCCTCGACACAAAAGGTCCCCTGAAATAGTATTTCTTGTCTTTGTTCTCTCCCCGACTCTCATTCAAAGCACTCCTTTCAAACAACTCTACCTTTGTCTGAGCCGATGCAATTGCAGATTAATGATTCCCCCTATTTAAATAGGTCTGATTATTTTTGCTAATAGAAGTGCAAACCACAACTAAAAGTAAACCACATAAGCATGAAACAAAGCACTCGGTATTAGATCTCTAGGTATGTGGACAAGCACCTGACCACAGTGCAGGGCAGCGCTGTAGAGTGTCTGGGGTGGCCCTCTTGTATAAAGCACAAAACAGTGAGTCTGACAAGTGTGGCAGTGTGGTCATTATGACCCCTGCTGGAAAAAAGCAGAGGTGCATTTGCCACAAGAAGCTGGGCTTGAAGATTCACCCAATATTCACATAACAGGGTTCAGCGAGGTTAATATGAAAATTTAACTTTCTGCTGTGGAGATGCCAAGCAGTGTGTGTTGGGGGATGGGGGTGGCGGATGGAGTTAAAGTGCAGTAGATGCAGTAATTTACATTAGTACTGTATTTTGTGAAGGGTCTCTAATATATCTCATAGCATTTGCACGATTGTTTTGTATTTAAATAAAACAATTATTTCAATGGACAGCAAAACAAATGGCAGGTGGACAATTTACTCAGCCCTTTTACAAAATGATTAGCACCACACTATTTAAAGTCACAGTAGAAGTCACAAGGAACTAGGCTCTGAAAGTCAAGTGAAACTGCATAATTTTACCATCTATAAATAAGTATAGCGTGCTTGGACATTTTTACAAAAAGCTTCAGTTCATTTTAAATAATCTTTGAAATACCTTAATATAATGTGTTGCCGTTATATGCATCAGGCAATTTTTCCTCTGCCAATACACAGTTTAAGTGGGGAATTAATAAATGGTTGCTTTTTAATTTGTCAGCATTATTTCTGAATCAAACTCAATTTTATGAAATTTCAATAGTTCAGACAAACCTCAATTAAGGCAGCGTAGAGGCGTGATTTGAATTGGTACACTTTATTGACTCGACTTGCCTGGCTGAGGAGAGCAACAACCTGGTGCTAAGGCTATAAGAACTGCCCGACCCTCTTGAACTTGGAGGAAGGGGAGTGAAAATTATATGCAGAACTGGGTAAGCTCAAATCCTGCTACTTCTGTTTAGGTCAGCTGAAGTGGATGAGATAAGGGCTTGGCCTCCTCCCAAAGTGTCGTTTAAAAACTCCATGAATTAGAACTGAGACTAAACCCATTCACACCCAAAATATCAAATCTGAAAGCCCGTACGCATGCCATGCTTGCATTGCGTCATATGCAAACTTAACACAGGGTCTACAGAGTCTGATAGAAATTTAAGAAGTGTGGAAGACCTAACACAGACCCCTGTGGTATTCCAAAAAGCCTACAATAAATGTAAATACTGCATGTCACTTACACTTCATTTGTACTTAAACATATTGACTTGTTCATAGATGGATATGGAAAATGAAGATCTTTTTTAACTATATTTTATTAGTCCTATTCCCTAAAAAATAGGAATATTTTTTAGGGAATAAAAACAACAGCAACTTCGCAGCTGTTGTAATTTAATTCAGCTCCCCATGACTTCATGCATAATGACTGATTGTTGAACCACTGTAAACGGATGTCTACAAAGCAGAGGAGAGTTAGGCTATGAGATTGAGTGCATGTGTTGAATTCAGAAAACTGGGCATGTAATGAAACACAATAAAATCTACAGACGTATCACAATTTTCATACAAAGGTACACTCCTTTTCAAACACTCTTCTGGCTTTGTCCCTGTGAGGTAGTAAGAGGTGGATACGTGAGAAAGCCAACATCTACGGTATGCTCTAAAGTGAGTCCCAGTGGTGTGGCCTTGAGCCAAGATGGCCACCAATTAATTAAAAAATGCAAAATGAGGCACAGCTGGACTGAAAGAGTAATTGGCACTCAGAGGCAGAGCAATTCAACATGAGGGAAAGGAGCTGTCTAGGCTCTCTGGCTAATTCCATGCAGGATAGGCTCTGCACAGAATTAGCCACTCCTTTGGACTAATTAGGAGGCTTATAAAAACGGGAGGAAAAGGGATTCAGTCTGTGTGTCTGCATACAGGTTCTATCCTGAAATTAGGGAGTGTGGGAGCTCCTGAGGGAGTTATCATTTGTAATATATTGGGCTGGCTTACAGACCTGTGGGACCCAACAAGCAGGCAAATGAATGAGGGATGTTTGAGAAAATATGACTTTGTGTGTATAGTGGAGTGTCACAGGTGCTGGCCAGGTTTCTGTCTGGTAGTTTATTTGCCGGACTCAACAGGGGTGGATTGCCCTGTCGATAAACAAGGGCAGCCAGCTGAACCAGGGCTAAATGGAGGTGTTAGTGGGGTAGGGCTTGGCAAGGTAGCTGTGTACCTTCTCCCCACAGCTCAGAGAGAGGACTCTAGGTAGCACAGGTGGAGTTCTAGAACCTAGAAGAGCTAGGATCCCAGTCTGAGAGACAGTGGAGCATGTGTATGAGGTGAGAGAAAACAGTGGGTTATAGAGAGGTGTCCCTGTCCAGCAAGGAGAGGTTCTGTAGCAATCAAAAGAGTAACTGGTTGTTACTCTTGTTGAAGGTTGGTTTAAGGTCTGGTGCTTGGTGTAGAGTAAGATAGAAGAGTCAAGTTGGTTATTTTAGTGACGATTACAACCTAATTGAATACTCTGTTGCCTGTTTGTTACATAGCACTAATAGGACTGAGTACTCCAATATACGCCTGGTGATTCATGAAGATGGATAGTGAAGAAATGGTGAGCAAGTGTGATGAGCAAGCCCAATCCTTAGTGACTAACGAGGACAAACAGTGACGAGTTGTTTAAAGTTCTAGTGAAGTGTGAGTAGAGCCAAGTGAAGAACAACGTGGGACCATACAATCTTCCCCAGAAGGGGCACACTGTGGAACAGCTAGGATCCCAGTCTGAAAGACAAGCTTGGGCCACTTCTAATGTAAGAAACTAAGGAGGCACTCTAGTGGTGTTGGAATTTCCATTCTGTGGACAGTTGGAAATCTAAATGACCAAACAAACTAAAATTTAGTCATCATAAATAAGAATGCCTACTCAAATGAGTACAAAAAAGTAGAAAACACTATAAAAACTTGGAGTGTATTGAAATAAAATGTATTACTTTTCCCTTGTGCACTCAAGCATTTTTAGGCTTCTTTTTTCCTCAATTGTAGGCTATTTTTCCACAGTTTAAACTGGTGATATTCTTCCCCGACAGAACTACTGCTGATGTAAATGCATGTTGATTCCTTCAAAGAAATGTTCTGATGGGTCCATGGGAAATCATATTCAAATGGTTTGCATCCACATCCAATTAACTGTATTTCAATTGAAATGGGCCATTTGGATGTGCTGCAAGCACTGTTGGTCAAATGCTTTAGCGAGCTGAAACGTTCATGCTAAGAAACAGCTGGCTGATTTTCAATGAGCTAACTACTAACTCCTTTTCATTCAGCATGCCCATGCTTTTAGCTACTGTAAGTTAGACTGGAATGTTATAAAGAATTACTGAGGAATTGACTTTTTTCTGTTTATAAATGTTTTCATTTCTATTCGTTTCCAGCAATGTACTAAAACATTATGGTTCTGTTTTAATTGATAGTTTCTCGTGATTTATCTTTGTCCAGCATTAACTATTTGTGATGCAGTTTATGGGGATTTGTGTATTTCTGTACAAATTAATAGGAATGTTTTTATTATACTGTGTACATTTCTGGAACTCTTTGGGAACTTCTTAAGGCAATTAACTTCTACAGACATAAAAAAAGCTGGTTCAGATGTAAACTGTCTTGAAATAAGAATCTTTTGCATAATCATGCTAGAGTTTTAGTCTGCCCAAGATATTAAGACCTGTCTGATAACTGCAAATCATGATTCAACCTGTAAACACTGTTAGAATTCATGTGACTCTCTCGGTGACCTGACCCACTCATTGTGCCACAGGCTAAACTGGCAAATACATTATCTTCAATGAGAGAGGAGCATGATCAAAAGATCTGTCCCATTACTGTGCACTTTAGCCAGGTTTTATGGAACAGAAATAAACAAATTATATTATTATTATTATTATTATTATTATTATTATTATTATTATTATTATTATTATTATTATTATAAATGAATATTATAAATATTATTAATGAATTCAAACTATTAATTTGTTTGAATAGAACATATGTATCTGAAACAAAATCAATCTATTTCGGAAAGATCTGTCGGAATGCTCCTGAAGAAAGGTGCGTGGCACACTGTGATTGATCTGTGTGCAGCACAGTGCAGTCGTCAGGGGTCGTACCGTGCAAGATGACATCACGCTGTGCTTGTATTGTGATGCCAGTCAACCAGCCGCTAAAAGAAAGCCGCAGAAATCAAGTGTAACGTGTGTGTGTGTGTGTGTGTGTGTGTGTGTGCTCCCTCTCTGCGACGTGTGCTGGGTCTGCCCGCAGGGTTCGTGAGCTTCGACAATCCCGCCAGCGCGCAGGCCGCCATCCAGTCCATGAACGGCTTTCAGATCGGCATGAAACGGCTCAAGGTGCAGCTGAAGAGACCGAAGGATGCCAACCGCCCCTATTAAAAGGCTCTGCGCGTCACAGCTGCCTGACACCAGAGAGACAGGTAAGAGCCCGCCCAACCGCCAGCTTCACAGGCTCACTGGCCCACACCAAAGTCCCTTCCTGCCTGCTTGTGTCAATTATACCTTTGTGCCATTCAGTTCAGGACTAAGTTTCCCCCAACCAAGGATTTTCTATATTTCCAGATCAACAAAAACGCCAGCGATTTGATCACTTCAACATTTCAGCCGAATCCTAATTGAAGCGAAGAAGAGTCGTAGTTGGAGTAATGGGCTTTATTGGGGATAACTCACCTAGCTGAGGTGCATGACAACACATCTGTAAGGGTGGCACATTGCTCTTTAAAAAGAGTGGAGAGGATTCCTTCAGTGCCATTCTTACAGATGTGCTGTTGTTCCCACGCAAGGCAAAAGATGAGATTAAGGGATGGATTTGAAAACTAATCACACTAACAGTTAAGAAAGAAGTGGCATATTATACGTAAGTAGGCGGAAGTGGCTGAGATTAGGGTTTGACCACTTCCAGGACTTTAGTTTTCTCCTTGTAGGGTTTGATCTGTGTGCTATGTACGTGCTGAAGAAGACAGATGGACACCTATGGATTGCAGAAAGTGTACAGGACATCTCAGAGAACTGGAATGCAGGGAAAACCATTGTCAAAAATAACAGCTGGCCTCTGTATGGTAACCTGTTCAGTATGTATGTTGAACCAAAATGCTCATCATAAATACAGTACATACAGTGTTCATCCTAAAAATATGCTCAGAAAGCTTTCTCGGGACATTTATGGTAATTGAGAGAGATATGCTAAAGTAAACAAGCTACTTGTTAATGTCTAGGTTCAGGGTATTTTCTCTCTGAAAAGACCTTTCCATATTAAATCAGTGCTCTTTAAAAGTTTTCATTGAACTGCGCTGTAACTTCTTACATCCCTACGAAGTCCATATTGCAACACTGTAAAGAGAATATGGAATGATGGGTAAATCACTTCTACAGGTCTCTGCATGAATAACAGCCTACTGTGTTTCCGTGTCAGCCCTGCAGTGGCAGGATGGTGCAAATTCTGAGCCTGAGCCAAAACTGAGTCTTTGTGTTCCCTAGGAGTTTGCTCCTGTTTTACTCTGCGCTTGGCTGTGAGATGCCATGAAAATGACTAATGAATCTCATGTTGAATAATCTGGTCTCCATGTGTTTCTCATAGACCAGCATGAGATACTGTAGTCCCTTAGTCTACTTTTCTAGTTAAATAGTGGTCACATGTCTTCCTGGAATGTCTTTTATCTGTGTCTGGAAAATGGTTGTATGCAGAATACTGTAAAATGTTTTCTATTTTCTGTCTCTTTTCCTCTCTTCCTCAAAAAAACCCACAATGGTATTAGTTGGCTCATAGTCAGCACAGATAGAGAAGTTGGCTGTTCTATTGTTCCCGTCTGATCAGTTGGGCCATTTTGATTGAGATTTAGACTTGTATGGACCACCTGAAAGAGCAAATTTATTTCGAAGCATGTTTGTGAAATGCAGTTATAGCAGGAAATGTCCAAAGGGTGACAGTGGTTGAGTGGAATTCTGAAATACACAGTGTGTCTCAGGAATAAAGCATATAAGTATTTTTCAGGACAACTTGATGTGTGCTATGGCAGAAATCTTTAGGCTGCATGTAAAATGATTCCCCTGTTCAGGATAGAAATGCACGTTCATTTCAGCAGAGTAATCCACTCAAAACAGAAGCTCTTTATTCAGGCCACAGGCAAAAGGAAAGATTAGCAGCAGATTTAGAGAAAATGTTTGCTGAAGCCGACATTTCAAGGCTAGTGCTCTATGTTTTTTTTTTATATTTTTACTTCTATCATGATTTTTCTTTTAATATTAATTAACCAGTGCCTTAAGGTTTCATAAACATGGGATCATTAAACCATTAAAGTACAGCAAATGCAGCAAATTACAATTGGGCACATTCAATAATTAATTTGCAGCTGACAAAAGGAACAAGGACCTTGGGTATCTGGCAGGGGGTGCACTTGTGAAGTTGTTTTTACTTGAATGCTTTAGTTACAGAACAAAAAGTACTTCTGGAGTCAGAGAGGCATTGATTACCAGGGCACTGGAGCCTGTGCTAGACAGAGTAGAGCTGTTCTTTTTTCTTCATTGGAATGATGGAGGTTTGTCGTTTAATGGAGTTGTTAAACAGAAATTTGGGAGGAGGTCAGATTGTAACCTTGCACTCTCTGATGTGTAAACTTATGCCTGCTAAAACAGTTAATCTTTTCTGTCCTTTTGTAGTTTTGTCTGGTCAGAGACAGACATCTCTTGTACTTAGTGTTCCAAGGCCTTACCTTTGTTGCTTCTGCACCTCATCGCCTCCTCACGCTTACTGGCCTTTCTAACTTGACAATCCGACAGCCAATCGCTTCCTCCAAGCCAGGATTGGAGTCACTTTTTCACCTCTTCTCAGACAATCAGCTTTTCCACCTTCGCCTCTTCACAGAGAACCGCTATTGCCATTCTGCCAGCACCTTTCCTCTTGCTCTCTCTGTTAATGCTGGCAGGCCTCCTGGGACCTCTGGGACAACTGCAACCACCTCCTCTCCCCTGCTCTCTCTTCTCTGCAGGCCCCTCTTGCTCCTTTCGCTCTCTCTCACTTTCTCTCCATTTCTGGTTGAGCGTCCAGCCTACTGTACCTACGGCCCCATCCTATCTTCATTGTTTTCCCCGGTCCCCCTTTATGTTGTCCTCATGGATCGCTGATGCTCTGAGGGTGCAGGCTATTGTCACTTGGGTCCAGACTATCGGTCCGAGTCTGGTGAGGTGAGGAGCACACCTGAAGAAGGCTCGCCGGGCCGAAACGTTGTGTTTTCTGTCTTCTCTTTTCAGCATGAATTCAATTCTATGCAGTGTATTTCAGAATAAAAAACTCTTACAGTGCTTGACCACAACTCCGCTTGTAGCAGAAAACTACGTTTTCCTGAGAGGCCTTTCATTGTAGTACAGAGCAGGCTCAGCCTTGTTTAGCTTGTGATGTAATGAAAGCAAAGCTACAAGCTACAAGATGGTAAGATGGTTTCTTTTACCCTCAACGTCTTAGACACCTTAAGTGTTTATATTTGTAGCTGCTCATGAAACAAAACTTATTGAAGCGAATCTCTTGTTGATGATCCCTACAGGAGAGACTGCAACTTCAAGCCTTTGTCTTCTTAAATCCATTATCAGCCTTGCACAAGAGTCTTTCTGATGTCTTTTGACCTACCACTTTCACCAAATCCAAATGGTACACCTCAAAAATGATCTCAAAACAATTCGTATTTCTTTTGATGTATTTGTTAGGAGTATTTTTCTACAAGACAATTGCATTTTTTAAATTTACCAACCATAGTTCATTTTTGACAGTAACCTTAAACCTTAAATGTACTAAATACTTTTCGACACATTACAAATTTTCATAATTTGCTTCCTATTATTTTTGTGGTACAGTTCTGAACTACTGTAAATGACAAATTCACATTCAGAAATCAGAGGTTTATACATCCTTTAAGAGAATCCCTTTTCATGTAATTCAGCCTTCAGAGTTTTGAGATTTGTTGAGCATTTACGCCCAGAACTCAATCTTGTTGGCACCTCCACCCAGCTCACTCACACAAATATATTCTGATTGTGTTAGGCTGCCCTCAGAGATTTTCAGATGCAAATGTATACTGCTTGTTTGCTGCAATGCTGTTTGAACTACTAAGTCCAATGCCCCATCCCTCCAGTGCATCTATGTAAAGTGGGTCTTTGGAACAAATGAGCCACAGTGGTTTGAATAGCATTTTCTCCTTCCTGGCCTTTCTTGTGTTCTTAGGAATGGACTCGTGGGGAGAGAAATGAGCCTTGGTACTGTAAGGTGAATGCCTTTTTCTTGCTCTTAACCCTTACATGTTTTTATAAGAGGGCTCTATGGAAATGGATGGTTCTCAGTGGGCACAAGGGCCCTTTCTCTTTCATCACCTTTCTTGCGTCTGTGTAGACGAGCTCCTGGGAGAGTGAATGGGCCACGACAGAGCAAATGACTCTTTTCGCCTCCCGGTGTTTCTTTTGTTTCTGCTGCTCATTTTCCTGCTTTATGAAGCATTCCTTTCCCTGAACGTCACTGGGCTTGGTAGGTTTTTAGAAGCCGCACGTCTGACTTTTAATGTTCTGTAATACCAATGCAGTTTAGATGCCCAGTACGAGACAGAATTGTTTAAGGTGATTCTGATTTATTATAGTTGAACATTTTATAGTATATATTACGTATCTGTATAATAGATGTGCCTCTTGTAGTCTCCCAGCATTAATATTTTTTTAGCCTTGTTAATGGTTCTTTCTCTTTTTGAAACATTTGTCCAATACTGAGTCCCTTGCCCCGGCTGTGAGAGTTTTGGACTGATGTGTTTGATTTGTAAGCCCAAGAGCGTGGGGTTGGACAGTGGCCATGCTGGCTGTCAGTGATCAGTCAAATGAGAGATATCTAAGATCTTCATCTGAAATTTATCGATTACTGTTTGCTTTAACTTTCAGGTCAGCCCGTCTTCATTTCTCCAAAAAGACACTTACCAGCCAAATGAACGTTTTCAATCAATAAAGGCTAAAAACAGGAAAACACCAGAGAGTGTTGAAATGTTTTTAGGGTTGATTAGTCTTGAAACATGGCTTGGGACTCCTGTGCTTTGGCGAACAGGAGAGGCTTAGTCCCTGTTGTAGCACCATGGTCTCTCTAGGTGGATACTATGCAATTTCCTTTGAATGCATTGGGACAGAAAAGTCAAAACTACACATTATTTTTACTACACATTCCACTAATTTGTATTTGTAATTGTGAGATCAGTATGATCTGGTAATGATGCATACATTTGATCATATTACAAACAATTTGTACAAATTACAAAATTGTATAAATTACATTTGTGTTCAACCTTGTAATTTAAAATGACCATAAGTACTGAAGATAGATACTTCATACTGTATGTTCTGATGTCATTTTTTCCTGTAAAGTGATGCTCAGTTGCATCAGTTGCTCAGTTGGAGTTTGCCTTGCCAATCTCGGATTTTCCTAATGAACTCCTTGGTTGAGCTAGCTGTAGGGTTTGGATAATTATCATGCTTATTGAAGCATTTGCGCCTTCACACAACATTTTTCCTGCAAAATGAAGAATTCATTATTAGTGGCCAAACCATTCTTTATAAATGAATGGTGGTCTCTAGAACATCTGCTGTTCCTTTTTTTCCCACACCTGTACATTTCCATCACTTTGGTAAAGATAGATCTTAGTCTCACCTGTACCTAAAACTCTCCTGGCTCAACGTTGTACTCCCTTTCAAATTCTGGTGCATGGTTGACGTATTGCATAACGCATTGTCTTGCTCTGTCATGGTAAGAGTTCATTGGTCCATAACCAACACGTACCTCTCATCCCCTTGTATCTAAACAACAGTGTTGTGTGCCTGCACCTCCCCTCAAAACAATCTTGGTCTCTTGGAGTTTTTGCTCACACTGTGTTTGCCTGAGGTTTTCTGTATTTTATCTCTGCAGTGCACTGAAATGCCATTATGGACTGAGCTCACGTAAGGATATGGTAGAGGTATCCAGAGGAATACCAAGGAATAATGTGTTTGTTTTGATAGTGTTGACACTACAGAACAGTTTTAACTTGTGCACAGAATTTTAATGTTGTTTGGTGGTATCTATAATGTTAGAGGTTACGATAGGGTGATGTTTGATTTTCTGATCTTAAGTATCTATCATGGTCTTCCATGGAATCTGTAATGACTAGGCTATTACAATCTTCTCTGTGGCTTACAGGAAGACATTTCTGGTGTTTTCTTTTGTATTACAGCCTAGAACAATGCATTCCATAGCCTGTGATCTTTGGTTTCAATTGCAGCTGAGCTCTTTCTTAATTAAGCTTATTGAGTTCTTTAATTGATCTATTATTTAATTAGTTTCAGCTTCAACTCTTAAATAGTTGGAAAGGGCTTAATATAAGCATGAAACCTTTACCAAAACCCACCTCATTTACAATTATTCTTTAAATGACCAGGAGGAATTTAACCAATGAGTCTATAAATCACTTGATTCTGTACATTATTAATGGAAAGGCAATTACAAATTCCTTAGAAAACTACACAAGAGCAACAGTTCTAAACCAGAGATCTGCTTTCTGCAGTTCTTGGAAAAAATACAAATTTGTATTTTTAAGTAATCAAGAGCTAAACTGGAATAAAAACTAGAAGGTCATACAAATACTCTGCAGGATAATGTACACTGTAATAGAAACGTGCATCTCTTTTTCTCATAGTAATATGCAGAGAACACAAGTGTATTAAAATATAGAATAATGTATGAGACAAAAAATAATTAATCATGTTAATTACACTAGTGTAGCCAAAGCAGAGGGTACACAAGGCTGTGGCAAAGGTCACTTACTTTTGTAACTGGAGTTAAATTCAGGAAACCTGCAGACATAGCAGCCCCCCAGGACCAGGACTGAACAAACCCTGGCATGAAGACTTCAAAGGCAGAGTGCTAAGACCATTCGGGTGGTAGGAGAGTACACCACACCAGGACTATAGTTCATTCAAGAGGACATGAAATGAACTGCTACAGTCCATCCCCATCCTTCTCTGGAGTCAGCAGATATTGAACTGGGTGGGATCCTGTGTTTCCAGGAAAGATGCGCTGTGATGGTAACTGAATCAGCTCATTCTGAGCCCTGAGAGTGACTTGCTGTGCTCATATACGGCGTATCTAATTCAGGGATATGCAGCTCCGGTGCAGCCAAACTCTGAGTCACTTAATTGGATCAGTTGCTTAATTAAGAGGAGTTAACTTTACGGATCTCTGCTTAATGGTCTTTCAAGGGTGCAGCAGCAGAGTTCCAGACCCATACATACAGATGTATCTCCAGAAGATGTGGTGAGAAATGGGAGCAAACAGAGGGAGAGTTATCTTGTTAGTGTTATTACTGTCTTCTAAACTTATTCCAAAAAAACGCTTCTTAGTTTCTGAGGCTTGTCTAACGTTGAGTTATGTGTCAATAATTCTATCCTTTGGCAAAAGTATCCAGTTTAGGTGCAGATGGCTTTTTAACAGTTCAGTCCCTTGACACTCGCTGTCTTCTCCCCTCTCTTTCAGGCTTTACGGAGTGGGAACGCATGTTAAAAGAAGACGATTTAATAAACAATTAAAGAATCAACAGAAAAAAAACAGACTACAACAATGAAATGAAATTTTAACAAACAGCGAGCGTACTGTTGGATACAACTTTTCGATACATCAGCCTAGCTACAGCGACCTGGAAGGTGTTTTGTCAGTGTCTTGGACACTGCGAGACTGCACAGCCTCTCTGCTCAGTGGGAAAGTGAATGTCATGTCCGCTTGGATTCCCGAAACCAGAAATTTTCAAACTCAAAGGAAGGGGTGAGTGACCCACACAGATCCTGGCGGAGAGGGAAACCCTGAAAGACAACCCTGGACAGGAAGTTTGTCTTTGAGAAAGTTTTTTTTAAATCAAGAGGTATTCAGGACAAACACCAAGCGCCGGGCAATTGATCTTTAAAAGGAGTGCCTGTTTGTCACCAGTGGATAGAGTTGCCATGGTGAGCCATAGCAACAGTCTCTAGGGAGTCTTATCTGTCATTCCTTAGCTATTTTAGGGACCAAAGGACCAAACATTTTTATCACAGACTTGTAGCTGTAACATACTGGACATTCATATCTCTTTGCTGTTCATTAAACAGTTTGAAGAGCAATTATATTTAAAAATGTAAAAAAAAAAAAATTATATATATATACATATATATATTGCTGATATGCTTTTTAAAAATGGCAAAATCTTTCTCGTTTGATACTAACCAGGGGGCGGAGGCTAGCGAGGCTGGTTTGCGTTTGACGTTTCTCCTCAGTGAGAACTGAAGCCCCGCTGTACCCT